TGTACTGTTGAAAGTCAACTTTGTAATGACACAAAAAAACATTTGTTCTGGACTAAAACTTGATTAGAAAAAATTTAAAAAAAAACAATTAAGGGTGTGCATCAAGGTTCAATGGATAAAGTTTCTTGTAGCCAAGGCTGATGCCCTGCGATGAATCCCCCAAACTGACATGGTAGAAGGAAAGAACCAATTATCACAAATTCTGACTGGTACATACATGACATAGCACAATGCACATATACAACACACAGAACAAATAAAATATGACCTTAAGAGTAAGAAAATATTAAAAATCTCTAGACTTAGGAAACAAAAAAGAAAAGGATGTAAATACATAATTTACATAGTTCAACAATTCTACACTGGGAAACATCTTGTCAGTGAGGATGCAAGGTCCAGGCTTACAGGTGGCGTGACAAAAAATTTTTCCCACAGCCATTACTACTATTATGTTTTTATTTATTTATTTATTTACTACCACATCAATGTGCTCATGATGATGGACTGCTGTTTACTGAAATGTCCCAAATACTTATAGAAACACCTGACGAATAAGAAAATGTTCAGTATGTGTGCAATCAATAATTGATCTTGTGCATATATTCCTTTTTTTTCATTTTACATACCTACCACATTTCTCCCTCCTTCCCCTCTTTCCATTCCTCGACCCCCCCCCCCCCCCAAATCCACTACTCAGAATAAGGCCTTCCATGGGGAATAAACAAAGTCTGGCATGTCAAGTTGGCGCAGGACCTAGCCCCTCTCTCCTGATCAAGGATGAGGAAGGTATCCCACCACAGGGAATACTCCAAAAAGTCATTCATGCACCAGGAAAAATCCTAGTCCCACTGCCAGGGGCCCCACAAACAGACCAAGCCACACAACTGTCACCCACATTCAGAGGGCCTGGTTCGGTCCCACGGAGGCTTCCCAGTTGCCAGTCCAGAGTCCGTGAGCTTCCACGAGCTTGGGTCAGCTGTCTCTCTGGGTTTCCCCATCATGATCTTGACCCCTCTTTTTTTTTTTTTTTTTTTTTTGGGTTTTCGAGACAGGGTTTCTCTGTGCAGCTTTGCGCCTTTCCTGGAACTCACTTGGTAGCCCAGGCTGGCCTCGAACTCACAGAGATCCGCCTGGCTCTGCCTCCCGAGTGCTGGGATTAAAGGCGTGCGCCACCACCGCCCGGCTTTGACCCCTCTTTAGAGCATATATTCTCAGGAATTGATCTTACCACAATTGTCAGATGTACAAAAATGAGCCATATTCAAGAATATTCATTTCAACACTCATTCTAATAGTCAAACTGCAAACCATTTAAATTTCCATGCATAGAAGATTACTAATAGGCTACAATATAAAGTCATTAAAACCATGTTAGAAAATTTTAGAACATGGACAGATCTAGAACTGACAAACTAGGAAAAGGGAAAGAAACATAATATGATCTAGAATCAATCTAATGTATGTATACTGGACATGAATATATGCATGAAAAGGCTTGTATATTGCCTGTATATGCTTTTACATTGTAATACTACTTATCTCTGTGTGTTATGTTTATGAAAAGCTCATAATTTCTTCCTTTAGTGAATTTTTGCAAAGGTTTTACAATTAACAGTTTGTTTGTTATTGAGAACAGATCAAAACATATAGTTGAGGACATCAGATCCCTCTCAATATTCCAAGAGCTAGCCATAGTTCCAAGTAGCTAAAAGTTCATGGCACAATCAGAGGGTGGGTGGTTATCTCTCCAAGTTTCCTCTGCAAAATGGTCTGATGCTTTAGCAGGTTCTGAGCTCCTCAGAGGTTTCACCAAAAAGAATTCTTCACTTTTCCCTCTTCTCCGCCTCTGCTCTTCATTTCTCTGTATCCTCATCACCTTCCAAGCCCTAAATTGCACCCAAATCTCTGCCTCAGATCTTCTTTTAGGAATAACCTAAAACCCAGCTCAGGGACAGCCTCCTATTTTAAACCTTCCACATACAAAAGATGTATCTAAAGGAAGTTCTTCATTTAGAGTTTCCTGTACCTTGTATTGTCTGTGCAACATCTTTAAGTGCCCAGACATGGTGTCAAACAGATCTTGGTCACACTGCAGCCACCTTCTGCCTCTTAGCATCCCTAAAAACAGTACGTTTAGCTGGGTTATCCTAAAGTTGATTCATCAAGATGGAAAGAATTTCCAAGACACATTTTGCTACAAAAGAGACAACGAAAGACACCTGGGAAAGGTCATTGCAGAAGCTGCAGGATCAGTAAGTGCCATTCATTCACACCACCATCTGTGAGGCTGGTGCCATCCCCAAAGTGAATGAAATGCAAGCCACTGGCCTGAAATAAGTACCTAGTACATAGAAAATCTAGATCATACCCAATATCAGCAAAGGACATCACTGGCATGGCCTTCTGTTCTCAGAATCAGGACAATCACCTAGTTCATGTTAGGCTGCAAAGGAAAAGTCCTGAGGGCCCAGAGCTCAGACCAGAACTCACTAAAAAGCAGAAATTACAGGAGTGACTAATTTTCCCAGATTCCAAAGATAGCTGTCATTCATTTTTTTTGGCCATCAGAGGAAGACACTTACTTTGTCTATGGAAGTGAAGAAAAGTCTGTTAGTTCCCAATACTGGAGTTTTACTCACATTAATGTCATTTGTGTTGCAACTCAAAATGGTTTTTTTATTCTTTCTACTGACAGTATACTTCAAATGCTGACATACTTCTTGCAGGTCCACCTGTCTCTTCAATAGACATGACCTTGGATGCCTCACTTTACCACTCTGAGCATCATAGCTCATGAAATATGACTACTAATAACAAGCAAGTGGCATTAAAGGAAAATTCAAAAATAATAAAGTAGATATTTCCACACAATCAACTGTGGTGACATTCTTTTAAAAATTTTATTTTTAAATTTTAATTTTGTGTATGGAGAGTGAAGTGTGTACATGTGAATGCAGATGTTGGTGAATGTAGGTGAATGCATTGGATCTCTTAGTGCTAGAGTTATATGCAGTTGTGAGATATCAAACATGGGTGCTAAGAACTGATCTTGGGTCCTCTGAAAGAACACTGAGAGCTCACAATGACTGAGCCATCTCTCTAGTCCCTGTTATACTCTTTTCTTTATGTGTTATATATGTTTGTACAGGATAGAGCCAGACGTAGCAAAGGTATAGGGAAAAGGAACGCTTTCTGGTCCTGAATAAGAATATATTCATATATATGTATATATTATAATTGAAAGCATGTTGTACTTGAAAGAAATTAAACAAATTATAAGCAAAAATTATTTAAAAGCTGAAGATACACTCCATTCACTGAATTTATGTGGGAGAAAGTTGAGGGTCAGATGTAAATTCTTAAAATTAAGATTAAAAAATATGAGTCAGGTGTGGTAGCTCATGTAACACTTATTTAAGAGGCTAAACAGTAGAATTGCTGTGAGTAATGGGCTGCAGTGTGAGATAATGTCTTATAGATATGAAGTAAGGATGAAAATATTACTGAGTACATAGCATTGATAATATTTAAATTTGTAAGTGTGTTAGTGGTGATGTGGTCACAAGTCATGAGAAACAAATAAAAATGTTTGCCATTGGTCCTTAGTACAGAAAGTATTATTTTCACATTAATCTGTTCCAGTCAGAATACTATTTCATTCTTAATGTAGTATTTTGGAAGAATGAGAAACAAAACTGAAGTTAATAAACAGTAATGGTGAAACTATCTGGAAACTATGTCTACAGGATTGCACATGGAGAGATGGGAAGGAGCTGTCAGTAGAAAAATGAAAAGTCAGAAAGGAAACATGCTACAAACACCGAGAGACATTCCTAACTCTAAGATCTAAATGCATTGGTGAGAAAAGAGGAAACTCTTTACACAAAATAGTTTAAACATTTCTGGAAGACCCCTCTGATTTCAGCAGAAAAAGGGTTACTGATGTAGTCACAAACCAAGAAATCCTTATATAACAAGAAATCAATCAGTTCTCAGAAGACATGAAGTGTAGTGGTTTAAATGAGAAATGATATTTAAATACAGTTGCTGGATAAACTTGGGGAGAGTTAGGAGGTGCAGCCTTGTTGGAGTTAGTATGTCACTGAGGGTCAGCTGTTAGAGCTTAAAATCTCACCCTATTTCTCTCTCTACTTTGTGCTTGTGTTGAGATGTGAGCTCTCACATTTTGTTCCTGCTGCCATGCCTGCAGATTTCTGACATGCCTCCCCATCATGAACAGGAAACCCAAACTAAACTTTCCTGCTATAAAGTGTATTTGTTGTGGTGCTTTATCACAGCAACAGAAAAGTAACTAATATATGACAAACTCAAACTTATAGAAGTCAGAAATGTTTTTGTAAACATGTCAAGATGTCATAAAAATGATCCTGAGGGATAAAGGTACAAGGTATATTCATGACAGTCGGCATGCACAGGCAACTTGACCTCATCACCTGCCCTGAGGATAAATGTCTGCTGGGAAAAAAGTCAACCTAAATCAAGAAGACAGTAATGGAGAACACAGGCCCATTCATTCAGAGTGAGAGCAGGATCAGTGAAATGTGCTCACTCACTCTTACTCACCATTCCCTGACCAAACTCTTACCTTAAAATAGCTACTCCTGAGGTAGCTGTGTACATGATCTCTTTAAAAGGTATCCATTTCTATGCATCCATCCATTACCCACGGAAAAAAATCCTCCTACTTCCTCTGTTAGCCCCAGTGATTACCAGGCAGGAGGAAGTGACTAGGGTGTAGCCCAAAGACAGTTACATACTTCACTCTGTAGGTTACACAGGAAGCTTCGTTTCTAGAATCCCATGTACAAGCTCTGTATGGCCTGAACTCAGGCACTAGAATTGTTAGTGAATTTCATCAGTTCTGAGGGATGGTTAAACTACACAAGGGTCATACACAGAACCACTTACTTCATTTTGATGCACATTCCCTTCCCCAGAGGGGAAAATGTAAGTATAACATACATACAAAACCCCAAGAGCCAAATGGAAGTGATTTTATTTTCTACTTATTTGTTGAACACATTGGTGAATCTTATTTTATAGATAATGGTAATCTTTTATACTTTTGTGAAATATCCTTAAGGTCACATAAAAATTATTTTTATAGTGATGTGTATATAAACTGGTACACACGACTATTTTTTTTTCCTGATCTGATTGTCTCTAACAGTCTTTTTTCACTTTTTGAGGAGTTTCCAGGATACTGTCTACTGACTGGAGCTGGCTAGGCTTCATCTGCACCCTTAGAACTGCAGCTTTCTTGGTGGCCCTCCCAGGACTACAAACTTTCTCCTTTTGATTTCAATTTTCTCCTTCACTGTCCACCTGGTATTTCTCGACCATACGCACTGAAAGTATCTTTTCAGTCCTTCAGAGCTAAATTCACAACTCGTTTCTAGATCCTAGTCACTGACATTTTTTGGGTTTTGTTTCATCTTATAAATGTCTTTCCTTAATGGCTGGTCTCAGATTTCAAAATTAGTGCCTTCCTTCTGGCTCCAATCAGAGCAACCATCTTCCTCCTCGCTGCTCAGCATGTCCATCAATTAACTCTGCTCTGCTTCTCTGCCCAACTTCTCCACTTTTAACCTATCATAATGTCAAGCTGTTTGACCTGACTCCCTATATAATTTGAATGGCACTAAGACATACTGTCTATGGTTTTAATGAGAGAGACTAAGGTTCAGGGCTTGTAAATGAAACTACTCTAGGGGAAAACATGAGTTCCAAAAGCTGAGCTCCATTAGAGCTCTCCCCAAGCCCATTTTTTTTTGGGTAATGCAACTTTTCCAGAGACCCATTAATTATTCTAGGAATGTCCTATTTGCGGTAAACTTGAATTCTACTATTTATGGACACACTGACATCTCATCCAGGAATCTCTACTTGTGACAGAGGACCTACTAGTCCCCTGTTTAGCAAAGGCCTGAAATTTGACTCTGTTCAATACTTCTTTATGAAGCTTGCATTCAGAACACTCAAACCATGTCTGCTCTGTTTTATCTCCAAAATAATCCTCCCTTCACCACATCCTCTGCTGCTTCCTGGCTCTGGCCTGTGATCTCATTGCTGGGTCCATCAAGCCTTCCCTTGTTTCAGAGGTGATTCTAACCACATTATTTCTGTCTAAAACTTTCGGCAGTCTGATAATTCTTACTATGACATTGAAAATCATATGTATTCTGGCTCAAAGGGCACAAGGCTCATCTTGTGCCTTTCTACACACCATCTAGGCTAGACACCCAACCTTACCCAAACCTTCTCAATATTATATTACTTCTACGGCTTTTCTAATATTTTACCCTCTATCCTTTGGCCCTGGAGAAAGTAATACTTCTTTAGTGCTCTTATCCCATCCCAAAGAATAGAGACACTTCACTCCATCTTCAAGAGATCACTATAGTGCTTGAAGTTTATCTTCCCTGATAGAAACATACACTTGATTCTTTATACTTGGGTGTAGGATCAGTAAGTAAATGTTGGGTACAACAAATTACATACCTATTCAATATTTACCAGGTTAGCAAAGGGCATTAAAAACAACAGTCAGGATCTAAGTGTTTTCTCTGTCACTGTTTATCATTGTCAAAGTTAGGAAAAAGACAGGGTGGGATTTTCCAGGTAGGTGAATTTAAGAATATACCACAAACTTAATTTCAGTCAGCAGTATCTCAAAATGACACTCTCATAAAATTGTTATTAGACTGCAAAGGGAATCTATTTATGTGAATGTATAACTGATGAAGCATTCCCATGTACACTAATTATTTTTCACTGTGACTCTGCACACAGTGATATTTTATGAATTCAAGTTTCTAGGTGAGAAAATAGCCATGTCAGACAGCTTGAACAAGGTCACCCGACTAGTGCATAACAGACCTTTGATAGGAAACTACCTTCTAAATTCAAGATCCAGTGTTCTATCTCCTATGCCATATAGCTTCTTTAGCATTAAAAAACATAAACAAACAAAAATCTCACAGGTTATTGGCGGGTGTGGAAATGAAATCTGTATGCATGAGGGTCTAAAGCATCTGATACCTCACATATTCCTTGCTGGCTTAGAAAGGCTTATACCTGCTATAGAAGGTATTGCTTCATCTCCAGGAATAGATAGTCAGGCTACTTCTGCCAGCACCAAGCCACTCCATGATCGAGGCAAACTCAAATCTGCATGTCTGAGCATGGTTGGGGCAGCAAGGAGAACATATTTACATTCATTTTATTCAAATGATTGGATTTATAGTTTTGGAGGTTGTTTGAAGCATCTTATCAAAAGAAAACACATTTTAAGCAAGAAGTTAAAAAAAAAGCTTTTAGGACCCAAAGGCCATTTAATAGCAGAAATCCTACTTGGGTAGTTTAGCAAATATTTCTCAAAATCCACATCTAACAGACATATTAGTATCAGATACACAGATTTGGTTTCAAAGCTGAAATACCTCTGGCAGGATAGACTTTCTTATGAAATTTGGTTATTTTGTAGTAAGCCACTAAAAAATGGACAGACTTACACTGACAACTTAAATAATAACTCAGTTGGCTACTTGGTGATATAAATAGGAAAAAGAAAGTGCCCATGGAGGAGGGTGAAAAGGCTATGACATAAACAAATGTTGGACTACAAACAATGTTTAAACATATCCCAGAATCTAAAACAGGAAAAAAGTCATAATCTACTCAATATAGACCCCATTGGCCAAAACCATCCCAAGGAGTATACCCCTCCATGTGAGGGTTACTAACCCACCTGCTACAGATGTTGCTATGCCGCTAATTAACAATGATCACAGAAAATGTGTCATACCAGTTTTTGTTATCATACACGATATATTAGTGGCAGTCTTGTAAAAGCCACTGTAGGAAGTTATCTGACAAATGTCCATCCACTGGTCTAAGAAAACATACCTAAGAAGCACTAGGCAGTCACTTTTCACTAAGCTCTGTATAGTACGCTTCCCACTTTAGGGAAGGGGCTGGATAGAGACAATTTCAGCCGAGTGCAGTACTGTAGCATCCTATTCCTGTGCTTCTTTACGGGTCAACTTGTAGATCTCAGTTGGTCCATCCACATGGGTGATTGTGGTGGTGAGCTGCAGTTCTTCCCCGCTGTGGATACCCAGGTCACCTGAAACAAGGTATTTGGTGTTATATTTGTTCAAGGAGAAAAGAGAGGCACTTCACATTCTACCCTGATAGGCTATCTCAACTTTTTTGCTTAGAATTTGCTATATATATATATTTTTTGGTTTTTTTTTCTTTTGGGTTTTTTTTTTTTTGAGACAAGGTTTCTCTGTGTAGCTTTGCACCTTTCCTGGATCTCGATCTGTAGACCAGACTGGCCTCGAACTCAGAGATCCGCCTGCCTTTGCCTCTCAAGTGCTGGGATTAAAGGCGAGCGCCACCACCGCCTGGCTTTTTTTTTATTTGTTTGTTTGTTTTGAGTCAGGATTTCTCTGTTTTTTTTTGGTTTTTCGAGACATTTTTTAATACTACTTTTTGCCCTCAGACAGGTCATAAATGATATAAGAGTTAAATCACTGCTGATATCACTCATAGTATTATTAACATTTAATGAAAGCTTACCTTGTACTTAATGTTATTATAAATACTTATTATCCAATCTTATTTAATACTCATAAAAGCAGGCTAAGATGCAGTCAATTATGATCATTCCAGCTAAAAAGGTGGGGAGCCTGGGAAGAAAAGCAAGGGAACCAACCCCCACCCCCATGGAGGAATAGGTACATAAAAGCATAAAAGGCCTGGCATCTGACTCTGATGCCAACAGTGGGTTAAGTCAGTAAAACAGACCTCACAGCAGATGTGCATGGCTCAATAGGCACATAGCAGCTATTGATGATAACATATACAATGACTATGTCTCCTACAAACAAGATCTGCCTATCCTAACCAAGGACTCAGGCAAGCTAATATATACTAACTGCAATTATGGGCTTCAGAAAGAAAGAACCAAAAATATGTTACAAATTTTCTCCTGTCTTTCAGGACTGCCTAGATACCAAGACAGAATTGTTTGCCTAAAATGGAATAACATGGCCTTTCCTTAATTAGGAGAAAAAATAATGCTAAACACTTAAGAGTCTGCTAGCCAATATTCTGCTATTATATGAATGAACTAGTAAACTACTGAGAAGAGAGTAGAGAACACCCAGAATCACATTCATAGACAGTAGTACAGGGGAATAGAACATGAAATGTGGGCGTGTGTGTAGAAGCATGTGCATGATTTCTATATTATATAACTATAGTATTTTATGGAATTAAGCATTTTCTTAGTTTAAGCATATAATTAAACTCAGAGTTAGGGTTAGGGGCAGAGAGTGACCTGACAGTCCTTAGACACTGTCTTAAACGTTAAGTGACCTGTGAAAGTCCCTTGGATACTATCCTGGGCAGAGAGCAACCGAGAGCCCCTTAGAGACTGTTCAGGGCTTGAAAGTCTTAGAATCCCACAGGTCAACCCACTCAGGAACTAGATTGTTTGGCTGGTATGTTTGTTCATGGATACCATATGGTATTTGCTTTTCATTATAGATCCATTTTTCAGTACGGTATACCATAATCTATTACATCATTAAATATCAGCTCTCAAGACTTAGGCAAAGAATATTCTAAATAAAGAAGCATTAGGTCAGCCTCCAGCATTTTCATTAAATCAACTTCTGGACAGGAGAAGAAATGCATAACAAAGCTTGTGAGAAGTTGACAAATCTACCTCAAGCCAAGGACAACCACTACTTTTACAAACAGCACATTCATATAGCCCTCTTTTGTTTTCATATCATATGGACGTCATCATTCTCTTTTCCTCCCCCCTCTTCCATGGTCCCTCTTCTACTTTTATGACCTACATGTGCATGTGCATGCACACACACACATTCATGAGCTAGAGCAGAAGCATCATACTTCTAGTCAAAGAAAGTGACTTATGGATTTGTATGTTTAGGCTGAGCCATCATATCAGTCAGTTTCTGATGGCATGTCTTCCATTCACGAGAATTTCAAAGACAATCCTGACCATTACAGTAGTGTTTACTTAATGGATTCTTTTCTCCTAGAAAATGTGTATGATGTTGTAGGTTACATATCAAAATAGCCAAAATACTTTGGCTTAAAAAAAAAAAAGCTAAAACAAACAAGCAAAAACCAAAAATAGACATCTATGTTACAATGTTTATCATGTGTCTGACAGTTCTCCATGCCCCTCCTCCTCTACTTCTTTCCTTCCTTCCTTCCTTCCTTTCTTTCTTTCTTTCTTTCTCCCTTTGAGATGGGATCTAACTATTTAGCCAAGTCTGGGCTCAAACTCAAGATTCCACTGCCTATGCTTCTGGATTGCAAAGATTACAGGTGTGCAGTATCACTCCTGGTTCTGTTGCAAGTTTACGTGTTGTATAAACACTGATGCAGAAATCCACAAACCATTCTGCTAACAGAGGCAATATTCATATCATTCCCATTCTGCTGATGAAAAAACAAAGGATAAGTAATCTTCCCAAGGCCCAAACTGACTCACAGTAATATTAGATGCAGATACACACTATATCAATATGGACCAGGCTCTATGCTCTTGAGCTTTAGATTCTACCATATGTTCAATTTTACAGTTTCCAAAGACCAACAAGACCACCAGTGAAGTATGACATTCAAGTACAATGTGCTAAAGCTATAAATATATATTAATTATTTGTATGCTTTTAGACAATAAATATATAATCTAATAATGTAGAGGGACTTTTAGAATATTAATTTGTTTTAGTATCTGATATGTTTTTAGCATACAAATCTGAGAGCCAACAAGGGGGTTGTGGTCTATATATGTTTGCAATGTGCACTGTTGGAGACTTAGCATGACCTGTATTTCCTTGTTAGATGGGAGGATACTGAAGCATTATTAGTTTACCTAATGTGCTAGATGAAGACTTACAGTGAAAATCTGTGTAGCAAAATCTATGATTCTTGCATTTTGCAGGGCAACTTTTTCAACTTAGGGTATGGCGTTGGAAATATGCTAGTAGTAGAAGGGGAGTAAGGATTCCTTCATTTGGCTCCAAACTCCATTAACCCCTATTTCTGCCAAAGTCTTGCTCCATCTGTTAGTCTATCTCTGTCTTGGCTTCTGGGTGCTCAAAATCTTTTCCCATCCAACACAAAAAGAAACCCTCTGAAAACATTACTGGGGGCAGATGGAGAATTAAGGGAACTTGCACATGCCATGGCCATTCTGAGTGTTTCACAGATTCTTTGTGAGAACAAAGGTCTTCTAATATTAAAAGGGATCCCATAATTACATCCTTATAACCATCAAAGTCAAATAACACACCACTGCTCAAGAGTTACTACCAGAGAGTTCTAATATTGTGAGCTCATATTTGTTTCTCAAGGTCAAATATAGTCTGTGCTGGAGCCAGGATCTGGGCCATCTGTGACTGTCTTCAAAGCTTGTGTTTTCTCCAAATAGTCATAATGACTCTTATCATTTTTTATGGACTTTTCCTTAGTCCCATACTAGCCTTTTTCTTATTCACCTTCAAAGATGAATTTAAGTGATTATTCTTTATAAGAAAATTTCTGGTTCAGAGCAGAATTGGAAAAGCAAGAATGCTGTATTTGTAGATCTAAATTGATTCAGTATAAAAGATTACTGTTAACATTATGTTTGTCTTACATGGGTGTTAATATGATAATGGTGGTGATGATTATGTTTTAAAAAATAATGAATATAGAGTTTTTCTATCTTTTTCTTTTGTAAATGAATCAAAGACCCAGCACATCTTCCAGGTAGTACACACTCATCATTATTCATCAGTATTTGCCTGCCCCAGCTCCTTTTTACCTCTGCCCAGCTAGCATGAGTTTAGCATCCCACACTGTCACTCTTTCCTGGAGCTTAGGGACAAATCCTCCACTGCAAAGCAGGTGTGCCTCAGGGTAAGGATCCCTCCTGAGTGAAGGTAGCTTTGATGGGACAGGGTTCAAAGAGCCTAGGTCTATTTGTTATGCGAGCTCAACAAGGAAAACACTCCAGAAAAGAGAAAAGGGACATAGGAAGGCTGCAGAGAATAAATGACGCTCAGATACTGAGGGAATTTAAAAATACAGTATATCTTCTTGACTTCATTTGTATTTTTTTTCTGAAATATTTCAAATTAGACCTTTCCAAGAAGCTTTAGGGTCTTGCCTAAAGTTCCAGAATTCACAGGATCTACTATGTTGTCTGCTGGAAGATGAAAGATTGAAAGGGAAAGATAAAAGAAGGAAGGTGATAAGGAAGCCCAATGTGGAGAGCCCCTTCTAGAACTGAGTGAGGTCATGATGCCACACAGAAGAGTACAGAGTACAAGTTGCTAGGGCTTGAGAGCTATTTTGATGTCGCAATACGCAGAGATTGTTAAATTGTGTTTATGATTAGCATAAAGTGCCCCAAATGTTTGCTACTAAATGCTTAAGACTCTTTTTAATATGCTATTTGGGGCGTTATGATACTTCAATACAAGGAAACATTAAGATATTTAGCTTCTTTAAAATGTGGACACAAAATGACAGTGGCATATCACAGCCATATTGACAATGCAAGGATATGAATGTTCCAAGCATACATTTTTAAAAAATGAGGATATGTTCTACTATTGTGAACTAGGATTTGAGTTTTCTATGGCATTATAAATCAATCAGTCTGTCTTCCATGAAAACTTCTGATGAGGACAGCATTGTAACATTTCTCAATTGTGAGATTTTTAAGCTACTGTACAGGGTAAGAAGCTAGTCATGGTTCTGGAGCGTCACATGCTCAGTAGTATTGTGGGTGGACACATTTTTATCTGTGACAGACATTTCCCTGAGTTGCCATAGTGACAGGAGGTCCCCTTCTGCTCTTCATTGCTAGCATAAGAAAGAAACACAGAATATGATAGTGTGGAACTTGAAGAGCTTTTTTATAATAGAGAAAAGCAGTGCAAAGGGTTAGCAGATTTGCAACAAAAACCAGAAGGTTCATGCAGTCAATGCTTGTTAGTAAGACAACTTGTTAGCATGTTTGTTACAACATCTAGGGAACATAGTAATTGTTTTATGTACTATTTCCTTGGAAGACAAAAACTCCCAAATTTAAGGACAAGGCCATTTAGTATCTGTTAAAGTCCTATAGGAGGACCATGAAATAAAATCAGTGTTCTTGTCTATAATCCAGAGTCCCATTGTTCTGGTAATAAGGAAACTGGCTGTTTAAGAAGCTGCATGCCCCACTTTGCTACATACTGTAACACATGAACTAGCTGTGGAAGAGAGGCTGATAGATGTCTAGGTCTCAAGCCCTTTAGAAAGGCAGGAAGTAGGCCAGAGATAGACTAAAAACCGGAAATGACATAGTACAAACTATTCATAATATGTATGTGTACATATTTGTTTGTGCATTTGCATAAAGTACATGGGCAAATGTGTGTGTGCATTTGGTGGAAGCCAGAGATAGATGTCATGTATCTTCCTCAACTGATTTTCACCTTATTTTTTTGACACAAGATTTATCAATGAACTTGCAACTCATTGTTTTAGTTAGTCTGAGTGACCAGTAAGCCCCAAGGATCTGCTTGTCTTTGTCTTTTCCCTGTCTTTCCTTACCCCACTGTCTAGGTTACAGACAATGTACCACCATGCCTAGTTTTACACCGGTGTTGATGACCCATACTCAGATATTTGTGCTTATATGGCAAGCCATTCAGCATTTGAGTCATCTCCTCAGCCACAATAAAAATTAGTTTATGAAAGGCATGAAGATGACTTGAAGTGAAAACTTCGTTGTTGCTTATCAATCTGGCTTAACTTACCTGACTACTAAAATCATGCCACCAGCCCACAGAAATAATGTTCCATTTAGCATAATTTTCTGTGTTCTAATGTTATAATCAGAAATAGTTTTCAAAGGAGACAATATGTAGACTGTACCCCAAAGACAGAGTTTCAGCAGGCTCTGATGAAGACAGAATCCAATCATTCACGATACATACACACTGAATACAGAAATGAGGCCAAGTTTTAATGCAAGGAGATGTCCAGGTGTCCAACTCTGTACCAAGGCATTAAGAACACACTAGTGTTCTAATTTCAGAAAACGTCATATATTATGGTTACCCTAATAATGAGGATGTAGTTAGGGTAAAGAAGGTGTGAAAAAGAGTAAAAAGAGTAAGACTGAAGGTAAAACAAAAGAAGAGCTATTGAACTAGCTATTTATTACATATAGCCATCTGTTACATGTGGACAGCATTGGAAAGAGACAATCATTTCCTTTTATGATGGCTAGTACAGAGACTTAACAACTTCTTCTCTTCTCTGGTACTCAGTTTCCTTTCATCTGACATGACCAGATTGGCTAAATACAATTAGTTTTGGATGCCTTGGGTTTTTGTGATTATAAGTTAGGAAAAGGTGGCATTCTCAGCACTAGAAGACAGGAATTATCTGAAAGCAAAAAAGAAATTGGTTTGGGAAAAAACATTCTTGAAAAAAGGGCAATATAGATCAATGGGAGAATACCTGCTAAGCATACATGAGATTCTAGGTTGATCCCAACACACACACACACACACACACACACACACACACACACACACACACACACACACACACACAGCAAAAACACATGAAGAGAACCAAGGAAAAGAAATCAAACCCCAGGAACCTTTACCCAGTATCTCAAGATTTGACCTCCATGGTTGGAGGAATAAATGTGGCATACTTTCCAAGAGTTTGTTTTACTCAAGGAAAAGTGAGGAAAACAGATTTTATTCTTTACTACTGTAACTGGAATATATTTTATAAACATTCTCAATAGATTTTGGAGAACAAAAAAAATGACTATTTCAAAGCTATCTACCTTGTGTTAAAATTTTGTTTTATGGTTCTTGAATCCCCTGAGTGATCACTTATTCTCTGCTTGTATTAGAAAGACATCTGGAAGAAAGAGTAACTGATGAACACAGGGCCTTAGCATCTAAATCTTGAAGACACAAAGGTCTGTTCTATCCTGAATGAACTTGCAATGAAAAGACAGAGACTCACCATTAGACTGGTCTTCCCCATAGTTCTTATGGGATGGTGCATACAAGAACATCAAAGCAAAGACATACAGGTTCCACATTCCATAGATGCCAGTGAAGAAAGCACTGTTCACTTGAACTGTGACACCACCCCATTTCCAATGGCCTTCTGTCACCTATAGATGAAAAGGAAGGCATTCAAGTGAAACAGAGAAGCATAATACCAAAATAGAAATCAGCCAACATGAAAGCCAGGGCTCTTCTTCAGATGGAAAAGTTAAGGGCCCTACAAGACTCCACACTCTAGTGTAAATGAAATTCATATAAATTAAGGTCTCCTGAAGGTGTACTAATGTCAGGCGCAAAGTCAGTGGCTATTATTTTGGCTATGCATTAGTATAACTTTGGGAATGTCTCTTCCTAGAAATGGAAGTTCACTTATTCTTCTATTAACAGGTTGTGCTTGACTCTATCCACTACAATTTCTTCTCTGCCATCTTCCTATATAAACAAAAGCTGCCTAAGGCAGAAATCATCTCTAACTTGTTTGCTGCAGCTGCAACATCTTTCATGCTTGATGCACCGTGTGTGTGCAGTAAACGTAAATGCACATTTACTTAATAAGGAAAGAGTGAAGTCTCTGGAATTCAGTTTCCCTAAAAACTTGTAGGGTTATTGTTGAGAACTGAATATATATGTAATTTCTAGAAATTGTATGGCGGAAACTAACAATACATTGTATTTATGAAATGTCATTCTAGGTAAACTACTTATAAAGGTAATTAGGAAGCTTCCATATAATTTTTAGTTTTGTAAGAGATGTTCAGAAACTGCTTCTGTTTGAGAAGACTTGGTAAGCGTTTTCAGAGTGTTTTGAAGATATTTGAAGAAGAGCTGTTGAGCTGAATGACTAATAATTTGTAAAGCACTGAGCTCACTGAAATGATTTCAAACACTTCTGTTTCCTATAGGAAATTTTAAATGTGGACAAAAGAAAGTAGTGGGTATGTGTTGCTTTGGAAGCTTAATGAGTCTGGGTTATACAAACCTTATCTAGGAGCCACTTCTAAATTGCAAGATGGCAAGCTGGGCTGGGATGTTAATTACTTCAACAAAAAGGTTAAGCTTGGCTCCTGTTTATGATATAGTGGGTCTGTGTTCATTCAGGCCTTCCTTTGTATTTCCCATGATCCATTGAGGTCATAAACCTTGTAAGATAACAACTGTGTATTTTTTGTTTTGAAAACCTGGAGTGTCTGGAAACCAGGAAATTCAATTATAGACTTACCAATGTTAGTGTATCCTTTGGTGGTATATAATTTTTCATTTTTGTGACTCATAAAACAAACCACCACCTCTTACTCATTTTTTAAAATAATTTATTTTATGAAATGTCTAGGTGGTGGTTTTGATAGAGAGTTTATAACCATTATTTATTTTAGATCATGTGTCAGCATTCAAGCTATTTATGATTTCTTAGCAATGTTTCTAAATGCCACTCTAACATTAAAATACAAATTGTGCCCAATTTATAAAAATTATACCATGTAAAACACAGACTTATGTTCAATGAATATGATGGTAGGAAAAAAGCTTTAAGAGAGTTCCAAAAATCTGTGCCCTGGCCTAGACCAGGTAACAGGAAAGGCTGGGATCATTAAAATATAAGCAAGACAGAACAAAGCAGCTGTGGGATAATGGACCTTCAACTAAGGTTACATTTGGGGACATAAGCTGAGAAAATTCATAATTGATATTTTAAAATTTAATTTAACTGGTATTTTTAATTTTTCTGAAGATTTGCATTAAAATTTTTAAAATAATAATTTTTGCAATTACGATATACTTACATAATTTTCCCCTTCCCCTTTCCTTCTTTCGTATTATCCCATGTATAGCCCCAACCCTAACGTCTTTAAAATTTACAACCTCTTTTCCATTTAAATGGTGTGTGTGTGTGTGTGTGTGTGTGTGTGTGTGTGTATGTGTATAACTACATGTGTAAATACATCCACTTGGCATTATGATCAATATTACTTGTATGCATCTGTTTTCTGGGCTGACCATTTAGTATTGTGTAACCAATTTGTATGCTCTTCTCTGGAGAATACTATTTCCTCTGCTCTCAGCATTCCCTGGTTGCCTGTAGTTCTTGGTCTAAGACTGAAGTTTCTTGAGCTTTCCTCCTTCCACAGAACTGATATTTTGATGAATTAATTCTTGCTAGGATTGACATGATGGACTCATCTAAGGAAATACCTGTAGGCCTGGAACTCACACAGCACTCAATTGATAGTTGTTGATACAGGAATGTTATAAGAATGTCTGTGGGAACATAAGGAAACAGAAAGAAAGGCTAGAACAGAACACAGGAATTCAGCAGGGTGGACTGTGATTCACTATTGGCTGAGGATGAGTTTTAATGGATGTTGGTGCTGCTCATAATGGAGGAGACTAGTGAGTTAGGCAATGGGAAAAAGGTTCCAGTTGCCATGCCATAGACTTCAAGTAATCAGCTGGGATGGATCTTGAGTCTTAACAATTTGTTTAGAAGAATAAAAACAGGCTCTGAGTGGTGAGACTACTGGATTCTAAGATAATACTTGGGCTCTGAAGGTCAGGTTTGTTAGCTTGTGTGGGGGGAAGAGAAATTTCTCAACTAGTGTTTTTCTAGAAATTTCTCAAGTGTTCAGACCTTGAAAGAACAAGGCCTCTTAGTGGGTTATACAGGGAATACCATCAGCTGGTGATTATAACCTGGGCTTTGAAGGAAGGAGATTCTTAGAGTGAAGCATTTTTTTCTATAGAAGAAGCTGATGATGTCCAGATGCAGGGAGCCCCAGAGAGAGCAATACCATTAGCTGGTGAGAATAAAGGTTATGGGAAATACCACTATGCAATAAATTGGGGAAGCTATCAAATGTATCCTAGAAGATAGAAATCCTGGGCCAGGAGTTATAGGGGATCTTATCAAGGACAGTACTATTTGATGATTAAGAGGAAGGAGAGAGTGGTGAGGGAGAGAAAGAAGGAAGAGGGAGAACGAGAGAGCTAGAAGAGCAATGAAGGGAAGAATGATTTGACTGAAAATTAAAGAAAATATTACAGTCCATAATAGATCACAATAATTTTATGTAAAAGTGAGAAGAAAAATCAATATGTGATAAATATTCATTACATCTTGTGCTCTCTTGGATTCCTTTATTACCAGCTAGAACAAATGGTTAACACAGGTAATATCAAAGTAAAGATTTTTCTGTAATAGTAGCAAGGTGAACTGTAGTAACATTCATTTAGTGTTCATGACATTCCAGCACTATATGAAAGATACCATTTAGTCTCTATTCTATGAGGTTGGTAGTTATAGTGGTTTGAATGGGAATGGTCCCCATAAATTCATATATTTGAATGCTTGGTCCCCAGTTGGTGGAACTGTTTAGGAAGGACTAGGAGGTGTAGCTTTGTTGGGAGAAGTGTCACTGGAGGGTTGAGGTTTCAAAAGTCAACACCATGCCTAGTTAGCTCCTTCTCTGACTCGGCTTTTGGATCAGGATGTAAGTTCTCAGCTACTGCTCCAGTGCCATGCCTTCCTGCTTGCTGCCATGCTCCCTACCCTGATGGCCATGGATTCACCCTGTGAAACTGACAACCCATAATAAACTGTTTCATCTAAAAGATGCCTTGGTCATGGTATCTTAGCACAGCAACAGAAAATTAACTAAGACAGGAGACAATCTTTCCATATCTTGCCTAAGATTGCTCAACTAGAAATTCACAGTCATGGATCCAACTCCAGAAAGTCTTCTTAGTGACTATGGGAGTCCACAATTGACTCAGTCTCCCAGTTTGAATCTGAAGTATATTCTGAGTCAACAGAGTCCAAGCTTGCTTGCTCCAGGGCTTCGAGAAAGTCCTGATTAGCCCACAGGAAGGAACACACTATCTAGCTAGACACAGGCTGCTGATGCCAGCCGGAGGTCCATTGAGATAGAAAATGAAACTGCCTGCTCCTTGATGCAAGGCAGGATAGATAATGGTTGAATGTCTGTGCTGTGCATTGTTCTACCTCTGTCCTTGAAAACTGTATATAAGTTGGCTGTGAAATAAATTTGGGGCTGTCTGGCACTGACTGGCAGACCTCTCAACTCTTTTCTGTCTTCTTCATTGTCTCTACAATATGTGCGCCTCTACAAAGCTACCCTGTCGGCAGGCTCCAACAAGTGGTGCCCAGTGTGGGGGCGGGTATGGAGGAGTCCATAATGGACACCACAGAAGAAAAAAAAGGAGCGCACTTAAAAAAAGTGGAAGCTGTGGTAAGTACAACTCGAGAGTAAAAGTGATATGTGTAAATAAAAAAGCAGACACACGTTAAAAAATTTGTGACCCAGTGTAAAAATAAGTATGGGCCAAAGAAATAGAAAACAGCTGTTCGTACATTTACTTAAAGGTATCTTAAAGGCTAGAGGTACTAAAGTAGGACATAAGCAACTGTGTAAATTTTTAGACTTTGTAGAACATATTGGAGTTAAGATACAGCAGTATTATGATAAGCATGGTCCAGAAAAACTTACAACAGATATTTTCAGTCTCTGGAAACTCATTCAGGACAGCTTAGACCTCCATTCTGAAAGGAATAAAGTATTTCCTGAACAAAGTAAAACCGAAACTAAACCTCCTGCTCTGCCAGAGCAACTGCTTTATGTGGATGCTTTTACAAAGTTATTTGATGATAATGACCAGTTAGATCCTGGCAATGAGGCAGAATTAGAGAAAGAGGATGCTAAGCATTATAATGAATAATCTCATACCTCAAGATTCTCCCTCACCTCCATTCCTGACTATGGATGGATCCTCTGGAGAGATTAAGTGGGTTGTGACAGCAAACCATTAACCCAATGTCTCACTTTCAGATCTGTTCACTGTGGCTGGTAAATATAAATGTAAGCACTCTTTGTCTTGGTCTGTGTTCTGATTGTTACTATGTTACTGTTCTGGCCCATGAGTTTAAGGAGACTGGATCCCCCTGACTGAAATGAGATAATAAGGTAGCTCCTGCCAGGTGTGGCTTGCATATTGCAAGAGAAGCCATCTGTTAGACGGGACTCGTTAATTGTGAATGAGGCCATTTTCTCAGTTCTGAAGTACCATACTACTTGGTTGTCTGTAAATGTTATTT